CTTCTGATGTCAGTAGGACAAGCGATTTTGAATTCTACAACATACTATGGAGTGATTAGTATAGACGTCTGCTAAAAAGAAGAAGGTTATTCAGGGGAAATCGAAAAGACTAGAGTCACACCGACAGGAGTTCAACGCTGTCTATGGACCACTGCAGTGCAGAAAACGATGGCTAGCAGTCAGAGGTTGAGATGATTATTAAAGGACTAAAGATTTACGCCCATTCTAATCTAGCATTTTGCTAGCATATTTGTCCTCGCCTTAGGTAGTGGGCATGTAGATGTATTGTATCCACATAAACAACCCTCCTCTTACAAGGCCTAATAAGCATACCCATGTTTTTTGTTATCGGGTTAAAAGTGGTTCTGGCACTGTGTGAGGGCAGAAAGAAGATTAAGGATAGGGATTAGAAGCCCAAACTCGGCCGGTCCATCAACTGTTGGTAGTAGCGATTGGGCATCAGAAGAGGTTCCGCCACATGTACACTATAATTCCAATGCCGTATCGTCATTCGGCATAAGTGGAAGTCATTGTAGCTGCAGCATTGCTATCGCAAGTTAGGCTTAACTGTGTGACATGCCAAGTCTACTTGATATATTATTGTTAATTTGGTACCCACCTTGCTCTTATGCTCGTGCACTGAACTTTGCGTCAAGCCAAAATGCATGCAGTCAACCCCAACAAATACCTTTTCCTATCTACTGGGAATCCTCTGGATACAATTAGAAAACTCAATTACACAAAAACTTCATTTGTGAGGGTGTCGTACATAATAAACGAAATTTTTATTTTCTAGATGAGACGAGTCTAAGCATATGACGAAAAATACTGAGCTTTCCATCAAGTTCAAGTTTGATTGAAGACGCTGTTGCTATATTAGCTTTAAAACATTTTTTGGTTGCTTAAATCATTACAATGGAGAACTTAAAAGCTTATATATGGTCTTAATATGAACTTATATTGTCAGCATTTCCCTTGTAAATTTTTTTTGTTTTTGTAAGTTAATTTATAACTAGGCAATTATAAGTACTTTTTATTTGGTACCTATTCGATGAGCTTCACTATTACACTTAATTCTTTAGAAAGTGCATGTGTTTCACTGACCCATATTGCATTGCGCCACCGGTAAAGTTTTTTCGCAGATGTTGGTGTTATGCTGGTTACCAATATTTGCATTAATTCATTAAAAACATTTTTAATGTGTTAGTTTTATGCAATCATACTTTTTCGAGGCTTGCATAAGGTCATCGTTGTATCAATGCTTTTCTTTGTAGCAGTTACTTTCCTGATCTCTGGCCGACATCTCACGATTGTTTTGGTATAAGGTTATTGTTGCTGGGGTCTGTCTATGCTTCATTCATTTAAGCTTCCCACGAATCATATAGAAATTTATCCCTTTGATCGGATTAATGTATCTCATTTTCTCTTAGTAGTGGTGGATTTGAACATCTGATCGTGTCTGATGTCTTCCCTGTCGTCTTCATTTAAAACAATCGATGTGAGCTTTTGTTTCTCTGGCGATCTTATTCATTATTTTCTTTATTAATAATTTGAACGATTTCGATAATTTGCGTATAGCAATTATTGAAGTATTTGGTGAGCTCTCTGTAAATTCCTGTTTAGAAGTTTTTAAATTTGTTCATATCACCGGTTAATTACTGTTATCTTGATGAAAATTACAAATGGTTTTTCCTTCGTAGGGCATGCCAACATTGACGTCCACACCGGTCTACTCTAACATACTTGTTGGACAGCCACCAGGTATGTAATTGAGTTTTATTTCTTCGCTCTCTTTTACCGCTATTCTCTGTCAAATGTTTTACACTTCATTAAGTTTACGTGCAGTGCACTGGCATAACTGAATTGACAGAGGGTGAGTCTTTGATATATCCCGTCTCTACAACCGTAGAGTTGCCCTAACAAACAGTTACTTTGCCTCCAATGCACATCAACTTTTCCTTCATAAACCCTCAGGTTTTTGCCATTTTAGGGACTGTCTTCCAGCAACCTGGCGATAACGTTTACCTTCGATTGAAATTGGATGATTCTAACACTGTCCTTTACCCTGTGGTCGGACAACCCATGATGGGACAGCCGCAAGATCCAAGCTTACTGCAGCAGCAACAACAACAGCAACAGACGGCTCAGGCTAGCGGTCAGCAGCCACAGCAAGTCCCCCGTCAGCAAACCCCACAACAGGCACAAGTGGCGCAACCACAACAAGGTGTTACTGTTACAGTTGGTACTCCTGTTGTTACCAGCCAACATCTGCCTCAAGCAAGTCTCGATGGCGTTCAAAAAGTACTTCATCGTGCCGTTTTTCGGCTCTTCTAAGGCACTTAATCATGCCGAGTATTTTTTTTAGGCAGAAGACTCGGTTGTAGTGACGGCGGCGGTTACTTCGGCTCCCGCAGTGGCCACTCAAGCTCATGAATGCGCCTTTTGTAGGGCGAACTTCGCCACGGATTTGGATTTGCGTCACCACGTGGAGATAGCGCATACCGGTAGGGCATTTGTTTCGACATTTCGTTATGATTGGTCTCAATCCTCTCATAATTCCTCTCGTATACAGCCACACGACGATTCCCATGCACCATCTGCGGCAAATCGTACACAAAGGCTTTTCTGTTGAAAAATCATATTAAAAGTCGACATGAGAGTAAGTTTTCCTTCTATTTTTGGGTTTGAAGAAACCCTCTGTTTGGACCTAATGTTTACCCTTTTTTTGTTAGACATTCGCGATGTTTTTTGCCCAACATGTCAAAAAGCCTTCTGCAAACGCTCTGTTATGAAACGTCACATGAAATCCGTTCACGCAGGTGCATTACATTCACTGTACAAAGTAGTGCCTCTATCTCACTTCGCGCGTTGTTTAATCTGTGTTTGTATGTTTTTTTCTCCGGTCTCCAGACTCCAAGGATTACACGTGCACCTTGTGCAACAAAGCTTTTGCAGAGAAGAAGAATTTGCAAATGCATATCAATGCTTTACACAAAGGTTAGTGTGGTTGAAATCCCAAAAGTTGTTGTCCTTACCTTTGACCATTTCTGTTTGGCCTCGCCTTCTGGGTGACTTTGCCAGATCGAAGTAATTGAAGAAGTGATCAGTGTGTGATCCTTCTTTTCTGTAGGATTGAAGCCTTATCATTGCCAGGTTTGTGGAAAGGACTTCGCTCGCAAGTGCGATCTTCTAAGACACGGGAATTCCGTCCACAAAGGTGTGTTTCACTTCTATTACCATTCCACAAGAAGAAGCCAGGTGGCACTGTTCTTATTTTATAGTATTCACTATTCGTTAGCTGGTAAAACACTGTCTTTTCTGGTGTACCTTGGGAATTCATTTCTTTTTTCTTTCCTGTTTATGGGTCCGCTTACTGATTTCCAGTGTCTCGCAGGTTATTTCCGATTTCTCGTTCTGTCCCCTGTCTGTTTTGCTTTGTGCTTTTCTTGCAAGAAGCTATTCTTTCGTAGAGTTGGAAAAGTTGTTTCTGTGTCTCTAAATGTAGACCCTTGCCACTGTAGACCATAGTGTAGTGTGCTGTGTATTATTTTACCACAAATCTAACTCTTATCTTCTTCTCCTTTCACTTTTTCTCCCTTTTAGAGAGTAAACCCTATGAATGTAGCTCTTGTGGCAAGGGATTTCCCCAACGGTGGTATTTGGAGCGTCACATGGTTGCTGTTCACAAAGGTAGAGCTGTTTTCTCACTATCTATCCTCGTCTCGTGCGATCTGTGTGTTTATGCATCTTCCCACTTTGTCTTTTTTCCAGTGGACTTCTCACGCTTTAATTGCTTGCCAAGAAATATGCCTTGCGCCTTGTGTAGGCTTGACCCCACCCTCACGGTCTCCGGTTTCCTTTCAGCCACTCTTCAACAAATGCCTGGAATGCCAAACGTATTTACGATGCCCCAAGCACCACAAGCGACCATCTTGACACAGGATCAACTGATGCAGCAGATCCAACAGCAACAACTACTCCAAACTCAGCAGCACCAATTACTCACTCAGCAGCAGCATGGCCAACAGGTGATTCAACAACAAGGACAACCGGTATTGCAGCAGACACAGCTCTTACAGCAGCAAGCCACCCTTCAACAACAACCGCAAGGTCAGCAGTCACAAGCCCAACAACAGCAACAGCAGGATCCGCAACAACAAGCTCAACAGCACACCCAGACCTCTCAGAATCAGGTCACCCAGGTTGTTCAACCACAGTTTTCTCAAGCAGCTGCTCAACACCAACAATCACTACAGTTTTCGGCTTTCTCACAAGCTCCTACTAACTCTGTCAGCATCGGTGCGTTGATGTACTCTTCATCGTTTTCAAAACTTTTATTCTTTGGTCTCACGGTGCCCTCACTCCTGCAGTGGCAGCGACGGCAGGTGGGACGCGCTTTGCCGTCCCGATGCCAGCAGCGTCAGTCAGCGCAGCAGCTCCAGGAGGCGCTGCTTTGCCCTCTGCGACTATGATGCCAACGCTTTTCTTCCAGCAGGCAGGTGGAGGTCTCCTCCCATCCACTGCGGCAACACATCACCAACTGCAGTTGGCGGCTGCAGCAGCTGCGGCAGCCTCTTCCACGCCATCCACACCGTCCACATCCGCTGGTGGTGGCGCTGGTGCTGCCACACCTCACGCCATGCAACAGCAACGCCTTCAACAAGTTGGGCAGCAGTTGGGTCTGCCGCCCGCACAACACATGATGCAGCAGGGTGCCACAATCTCGATTATCCCACCAGCTCAGACGACCAATCAGCTTCAACACACAGGTTTGCTTAGGTTGCAACATAGACAT